AGATAACAGAGAAATAAAAAGTCCAGCGTTGCAGAAATAAAAGTTCTGAACAGCAATCTTCAAACTCAGACCACGCTGGCACCTAGCCTCCAGTGCACGCTGGGTCTTGGCTCCAGACTGCGCTGGGCTGAGAGTTTTTGACACTAATACATGCTTCTCAAAACAAAAAGAAATCAAATTCTCCCGCACTGACACCCCTTAACTTGAAGAGGTATCCTAAATCGGGCAAAATAAGTTTTAAAAATGCGAAGCAAACAATTTATTGAGAGATGTTGATGCAGTATTAACACACGAGCTGCCATCTTGGCTTGATCAGTTGACTTGATGGCCAACGTGAGATTCAATGTAGAAAGCAACAGCATGGGTTCAATTCCTGTTTCGTCTCAGATAGACTGTTTCCTTGACCTGTCCCTGAGAGTGGAAAACAAAATGACAGATATCCACCAGAAATGAAATGGGCTCAGGATGAAAACCACAGGAAGCAATAAGGCAGGGACTGGCCTTCTGCCAGAACACTCATAAATATATGGAGCAATATGAGAAATTTCTGCTTCTTTATTTCACAAGAGGTAATAAATGTTTATTGTACAAGAGAGAAGAAACACGTCTGAAAACTAAGGTGGCAGTAATCCTGAAAGGCTTTAATGACAGTTCAATGTTTAAATTAATTCAGCAGCAATTTTCATTAATACATACAATGGTTGATCCTGTTCTTGTGAATGGATTGTTAGGAATGCCACCAACATAGAGCAACAGAGGATCATTTGAATCTAGGGTGGCAGGGTGGCTGAGTGGTTAGCGCTGCCCCCTCACAGCACTGCTGACCCTTGGGCAACTGTGTGTGTGGAGTTTGCACATTCTCCCTGTGTCTATGTGGGTTTCCTCCGGGTGCTCCAGTTTCCTCCCATGAAGATGTGCAGGTTAGGTGGATTGGCCGCACTGAAATTTTCCACAGTGTTCAACAATGTGTAGGCTGGGTGGGTTAGTCATGGGAAATGTGGGGTTACAGGGTAGGGGAGTGGGTCTGGGTGGGATGTTTTTGTGGACTCAATGGGCCAAATGACCTCATTCTGTGCTGTAGAGGTTCTATGATTCTGCTTTTAACCACTTTCCCAGGAACAGGGCCATACAATGTGCGTTGAGTAGCTTTGATGTTAAAACAATTCAAGTAATAGATTAGAACAAGACAAGGGAATTAAATCACTGATACTGGAAAAATGTATCTTTCAAATACCAATTTTTTTTTGGAGAAATTCAACAAAAAGGACATATACATAAATTTGCGAAATCGCTTTCTGAGCAAATATGGAAAATAATTTTGTTAATCTGTTACATAGTCAGCACTCAATAAGTACATAAACAAAGAAACAGGTTCTTAAATTTCACACCTTCGGAATGCTTCAATTTTCCTGTAACTATATTCAGGTAATATAACTAGATAAATGGAATAATTGTGACACAAGATATGCAATTTAAATATCCTTTAACATGATTTATTTTTGAGTTTGGATTTAGAATTTGTTCGTGGTACAGAGGTTTATCCAACGTCTGATTTAACAAACAAGTTGTAAGTATTTCTGGAGCCATGGTGATTTGTTTAAGAACACACTGTGAGAGAAAGACAGCAAGGTGTAGAGCTGGATGAACGCAGCAGGCCAAGCAGCATCATAGGAGCAGAAAGGCTGACGTTTCGGGCCTAGACCCTTCATCAGAAAGGTGAGAAAGACTTCCTGGAGAATAATGGGTTTCCATTTACATTGGAGAACATTACAAATGAGCAATTTAAACAGTTGTGCCCTAGGCTCCAGTTTACAAGATCAGGGGTTTTTTTTTCTTTCAGTTGGGGGAAATGCTCACAGCTTTGGAATAAAAAAAGCTTTTTGTTTAGTTCCTGTTTGCTAGGCTCTTAGCTGAGGCTGGATATGTAAAGCTGTTGCTCCCAAGAAAGAGAGAAGATAGTTTAGACTTGTTAAAATGGGTTACGTCGGTCTAAGTTCAGTAAAAGGTGCAGACATTTTGTTAAAATTCTGAGGAGGTTATTAGAGGCTGAGGAAATTTAAACTCAGTTGTATGAAGGCTCCAGGACGAGGCAATTAGATTCTCAAAACTGAGAGTTGTAAAGTCATTGTGAAGTTAAGCCATATGTGAGTGAAAGAGAAGGGCATTCTCCCTGGTTTGAGTACTGCAAAGAGGTGTTTTTATGATTAATGGGACTTTATTTTTACTGTGCAACTTGAAAACTTTGTAAGTGTGTTATATGTAAATACTTTGATTTATTCTATTTTATCTTCATTCCCTTTGCGTATTAAACTTCTGTTTTATTGATAAATCTTGTCTTGCAGCTTTGAGTGTTTGTGTTTTCGTGAAAGATCATTTTGTTAAGAGCAAAAGGAAAATTTTCATCTATCAAGCTAGTTTCAGTTTGGGATCTGACTTCTCCAGGAATAACTTCAGTTAGGAATATAATGTATACGTGCACACAACAGATGCCAGTTTAGAATGCAGTCTGAATAGTGCATTGATTGATAAATAACAACACGAAAGTAGAAATATGTTTTGCAATTTATTAAATTTCAATGGTAATTTTGTACTATCATAGGATGTTATTAAATGTGTTGAAAATTGTCTTTTGTCAGAGCAAAGGTTTAATCAATAACTTTGTAGTTTGATTATTATTGGAACAAGGCATGTAATGAGGAAGGACAATTGTTTACTTAAAAGATTTGAAATTTTCCTGGTTAAACATTACCATGCCCAAAAAGCTAATGAATTAAACAAAGCTAAGAACAGAAAATACTGGAAATCCTCAGCAAGTCAACAACTGCTGAGAAATACAAACAGAGCTAACATTTCAGATCTGTGACCTTTCAGTATTTTCAGTTTTCTTTTCATGTTTCCAGAATATTCAGGTTTTTGATAGGTAAATGGAGCAGTGCATTCATTGATTGTGTCAAATTAATGCTAAATATGATCATTGAGATGGCCCTCTCTGAGACAATGGATAAATGTCCCCGTCCCAAAAAAAATCAGCATCAAATTGCCACTTCTCACCTCATTGTGTGTGTATCACTCCCATATTGTTCTACTGTCATGCTGTTGTCTGCTCACCAGAATTGCTTGTCGGCCTTGTACCTTCTACCCACGACTTGCACCATATGTAAATCACGGCTATGTCCCAAGTCAAACACTGCAAGCAAGAAATGGCTCCTTCGCCATCGCAGCTTGTGAAGATTTGGCCTGGAGATGCCCGACAAGAGGCAAGTTGGCATCCCTGCTTTGCCAACAGGGAGCTGGAGGCCCTGGGTGATGGACAGTGGAGTGGAGGACTGGAGGACGCCAGAGGAGATCACGATGAGAGACACGAGGTTGCCAGCCTGCTCTGTGGATTGCCCAGCAGTGCAGGAAGGTCAGTGCCACCTTCTCTGCTTGGTAAGAGTCAGTGCCACCTTCTTCTCTCTGATCCCTCACCCTATCTCTTGTACTGCACCTCTCCCATCAACTCTCATGGCCTACCACTCTCACTAGTGCTTGCGACATTTTCCCTCATTCACTCTCAACCTCCACCCCCTCTCACCCTGTTCCCCTCCCCCAATTAACCCTTTCTGCCCTCTGTGTTTCCTACTCACTCATTCAGGACACCTTCCTACCTTCCTCTCCCCTTGAGCTATGTTAACCATAGTGTCAGCCACTCCCATCTCATCCAGTCCTTCCTTTTGCCTCATTGCTGTGGAAAACAGGCCACAATTCCCTGATATTTTCCTCCTCAGTCCTAAAAAAAAGAGGGAATCCTCGAGCCCATGGGAGGACAGGGATCACCTGAATATCCCAGCAACTAACTATGGTATATTGTCAAGTGCTGTTATTGCTGTTGCGAATGTATTTTCAATATGTCCCAGTTCATGCCTTAGAATCATAGAATCCCTACAGTGTGGAAACAGGCCATTCAGCCCATTGAGTCCACACCGACCCTCTGTAGAGTACCCCACCCAGACCCAACCCCCTACCTACCCCTGTAACCCTGCATTTCCAAGGCTAATCCATCTAACCTACACACCCCTGGACACAATGGGCAACTTAGCATGGCTATTCCACCCACCCTGCACACCTTTGGACTGTGGGAGGAAACCGGAGCACCCGGAGGAAACCCACACAGACAAGGGGAGAATATGCAAACTCCACACAGACAGGTGCATGGGCCCCTGACACTATGAAGCAGCAGTGCTAACCACTGAGCCACTATGCCAGCCTGCGCCAGGATCAGCAGCATCTACACAGTCTCAGCCTTGGAAAAGAACTGGACATTGGCTCCTTTTCTCACCCCTGAGAAAGAAATTGCGGATCCCTCAGAGGATTCACCCACAAGGCTTCCTCCTGTACCCTCCCCCAGCTACTGGCACCTCAGGTGGGTTGAGAGCACAGTCTGGTGAGCACATTGCTCGGCACATTTCTGCTGGTGGTCGAGGAAGAAATGGCCCTGGCATACACTTGACCACGTGTGTTTGTCTGGAGTAACACATCCAAGGATTAGGTGGTGTCCTCTGCCTGCTCTGTATTGTACCAAGCCGTAGATATGGCAAACATGTTGAAAGCCATCTTATCATCTTCATTGGCCCTATTCGAAGAAGGCATTGCAAAGCACTTACACCATACCTCATGACACAGTATTTGACCCTTACCTCTGTACAGAGTGTAACATGAAGTCTGAACACGTTGAGAGCCAAAAGACCACGAAGCAAGGATTATTTATTTCAATGGCATTAAGTCATTGCAAACACAGGGAACAATTAAGGTTAGGCAGGGAAGTATTTACAATACTGTTCACAGAATGAAGCCTTTAGTTTACATTCGGTTGAGGAGTCCTTTTGTCTGTCTGCTCCTTCTTTTTATGAGGCCGCTGATCCCCAAAGACAACCCTTTATTTTCCCAGAGAAGGTCCATTCGACTGCTCCAGCTGCACCCCCCTTACTGTCACCACCTATTGCTGGACATCCCAACACAACTGCTCGAGCTTCGCTGCTCGGTGATCTCCCTCACTATCGCCACCTGCTGCTGGACGTTCCGTAATACAGTGCCACTTTGCCCCTCCCTCACTGCGCAATGTTCCATGAAAGATGAATAACTGTGGGACTCCTGAGCTTCAGCTGACTTGAGCGCATCTTCTGTTGGAAACTCTGCATTGGGAGACTGGACCACATCTGCTGGAAGTTGATGCAGGCCTTGGGTTTCCATAGAGTCAGAGAGTCATACACCTTCAGTCCAACCAGTACATAACAAACATAATCCCAAACTAACCTAATCCCACATGCCTACTCCTGGCCCATATCCCTCCAAACCTTTCCTATTTATGCACTTTCCAAATGTCTCTTAAACGTTGTAATTGGACCTAAATCCACCACTTCCTCAATTTTTTTTACTCATTCATGGGACATGGTTATCTCTGGCTGGTCAGCATTTATTGCCCATTCCTAGTTGCCCGTGACAAGGTGATGGTGAGCTGCTGCCTTGAATTACTGGAGCCATAGGTTGACCCACACCGAGGGAATTCCAGGATTTTGACCCAACAAGACTAAAAGAACGGTGATATATTTCCAAGTCAGGGTGGTGAGTTGTTTGGAGGGGAACTTGAAGGTGGTGGTGTTCCATATATCTGCTGCCCTTGTTCTTCCAGATGAAAATGGTCTTGGGTTTGGAAGGTGCTGTCGAAGGAGATTTGGTGAATTTCTGCAGTGCATCCTGTAGATAGTACACACTGTCGCAACTGAATGTTGGTGGTGGAGGGAGTGAATGCTTGTGGATGTGGTGCCAATCAAGCGGGCTGCTTTGTCCTGGATGGTGCCAAGCTTCCTGAGTGTTGTTGGGGCTGCACACATCCAGGCAAGTGGGGAGTATTCCATCACATTCCTGACTTGTGCCTTGTAGATGGTGGACAGGCTTTGAGGAGTCAGGAGATGCGTTACTTACCGCAGTATTCCCAGCTTCTGACCTGCTTTTGTAGCCACTGTCTATGTTATGAGTCCAGTTGAGTTCCTGGTCAAAGGTAACCCCCAGGATGTTGATGGTGGAGGATTCATAGTGGCAGTGATTAGATTGTCCCTTATTGGAGCTGGTCATTGCCTGATATATGTGTGGCACAAATATTGCTTGCTACTTGTCAGCTCAAGCCTGGATATTGTCCAGATCTTGTTTCATTTGGATATGGACTGCTTCAGCATCTTAGGAGTCGCAAATTGTACTGAATATTGTGCAAACATCGGCGACCATCCCGACTTATGACCTTATGATGGAGGGAAGGTCATTGATGAAGCATCTGAAGGCCTAGGAGATTACCCTAAGGAACTCCTGCAGAGATGTCCTGGAGCTGAGATGACTGACCTCCAACAACCATAACCATCTTCCAATGTAGCAGGTATGGCTCCAACCAGTTTGCCCCTGATACCCATTGATTCCAGATTGCTCCCAGTCTAGGAGTACCCCCCAAACCTTTATGTTCCTTTCTACCTTGTCCTCCCTGTCAACCTCATCAGCTTTAACCATCCCCATCTTCTCAACCAAATCTTTTAGTTAACTTTTCCCCTTGCCCTCTACACACAGAGTTCCAGACTGCAGCTTAGTTAAGCCAACCATGTCTATGCACAGACACTTCATCAACATTGACTTCAGAAAGAAAGGAGGAGAACTCGCCCCCATCTACATCAACAGAGCGGAGGCTGAGAGAGTTGAAGCATTAAGTTCTTCGGAGTGACGATAGCCAACAATTTGTCCTGGACTTCCCATATAGATGTGACAGTCAAGAAGGCATAACAGTGCTTCTTCTTCCTCAGGTAGCTCAGGAAATTTGGTATGTCCATAAGGTCCCTCACCAACTTTTACAGATGCACCATTTAAAGCACATTGTCCATGTGCATAGTGGCCTGGTACAGCAACTGCTCTGCCCAGGACCATAAGAAACTACAGAAGGTTGTGTGCACAGCCCAGACCATCACGGATGCCAATCTCCCATCCATGGGCTCTATTTACATGGCTCACTGCTGTAGAAAGGCTGCCAACATCATCAAAGACCCTTTGCACCCTGGTAATGATCTCCTACAACCTCTTCCATCAGGCAGAAGATACAGAAACCTGAATACATGCACCAGCAGGTTCAAGAACAGCTTCTTCCCTGCTGTTATTGGACTGAAGGATCGACTCTCTAACTTCAAATAATGTTAATCTTGCTAATGCTGATCTTGGTTCTCGTATTTCCTGTGCAGTGTAACCTGTATGCCTTGATCTGTCTAAGCATCCTATGATCTGTATGCCCTTGCTTACTGTGATCTGCCTATACTGATTGCAAACAAAGCTTTTCGCTGTACTTAGGTACATGTAACAATAAATCAAATCAAATCAAGGCCAGGGTGGTGCAGACTGTTAATAACTCCACCCTCCTGTCAGACACCATGCCCTCTCGTGATCTACTATCTCCCACCACTCTATGTTGCATTGTCCCCTTCACAATTATTACACCCTTTGCATCCCAGTATCCAGTCTCCAATCCCACAATTGAGTTTTACCATGGCCCCACAACAGCAATGACCCCTGATAGCAGCCTTTGAATTTCACTGATCAAATCCCCAGGATTTATTATGACCAACTCCCGCCCTCCCAGCCCCCTACCAGCTGACTTGAATGGTAGTCCCAACTGATGAGTGACTTGACCCCTAATTAAACCTGTGGAGCTCCCCAAATGCCTCTACCTCCTCGGCTGGTTGCACTCCACCTGCAGAACTGACCGTGACCACGCCACAGATTGTAAGGATCCAGAACGCTCAACCCTGATCACCCCAAATGCCTGACCAGCAATGTCTAAAACCCCTTGGATTGGTATTCGATGACATCCTTGCCTGTCTGTGCCAGTACCCTCTGGGTCCACCTTGATTGGCTGAGGATGACTCCTCTTAGACGCTGAGACATGGCCATTTGGTTGATGTACGTTCCATACATTCACCCCATCACCTGCTGTAAGTGTGAGGTTGATGTGGAACATGCCTGTCCCTTTGCCTGATCACTGCAAGCAAACATGACAAGCTGCCTGGTTCTGTGTCTCTGCTAAAAGGCAAGGCAAGATGGAAGCACTGTGAGTCTCTCAGATTTGAATGAAGTAACAACGCATAAAAAGCCAAGGCTAGACTGAAAGGTCTTACGAGGAAAGTTTGAGAGGGCTAGAGCTTTTCTCTTTAGAGCAACGAAGGATGAGAGGTGACTTGATAGAGGTATACAAAATGATCAGAGGTATAGATACAGTAGACAACCAGAGACTTTTTCTGAGGGTGGACGTAGCTATTACGAGGGGGCATAGTTTTAAAGTGAATGGAGGTAGATATAGGGGAGACGTCAGAGATAGATTCTTTACTCAAAGTGTGGTAGGGGCGTGGAATGCATTGCCAGAGAGGGTAGTGGACTCGGCCTCATTAGGGGCATTTAAGCGGCTATTAGATAGGCATATGGATGATAGTGTAAGGTAGGGGTGGAGGTTAGATAGACCTTAGGATTAGGGTAAAAGTTCGGCACAACATCGTGGGCCAAACGGCCTGTACTGTGCTGCGCTGTTCTATGTTCTATATTCTATGAAATGCCTTGAGCATCCATGTAAGAGCAAAGTCAATGGGTACTAACAAAGCAAGCTTAGAGCCCTGAGAGGTAATCATTTCCAATGTATGAAGTGGGACCTGGCAGCAGTTTTGCAATGAAAGGTGTAGGTACCCTCCAAAGTCAGTGCTAACATTGTCAATGCTATTGTAAATGAGCCGGAGGTGTACCCCTAATGGACTGGGTGAGGTTGGTGCTTGTCAGATGCCAACCTCCTGAGACAAAGAATGGGTGTGGTCACTGCCCACAGATAGCTGAGGAAATGCTGGTAGCTTGGTGTAGGCATCAGCAATCTTCAGGTGCCAGGTGCCCACTCAGACTTTCATGTTGGGAATTGTCACTGACTAGACCCCCTCCATCACTTGGGAACATAGCAATCTGCATACACAAAGGGACATTAGTGATCATGAGACCAGAGCCTCAATAATGCAGGAATGAGACATGGGGGCTCAGGTACATAATTTTTTTGAAATATGCAACACATGTAGACAGGGTAGCTAACAAGGTGTTTAGTTTGCCTTCGTTGCTCATACATTTGTGTATGGGAGTTCAGACAACATGTTGAGGTTGTACAGGATGTTGGTGAGGCCTCTTCTGGAGAATTGTGTACAGTTGTGGTCACCCTGCTATAGCAAGGGTAGTATTAAATTAGAGAGGGTTCAGAAGAGATTTACCAGGATGTTACCTGGTATGGAGGGTTTGAAATATAAAAATAGACTGGAAAGACTGGGAATTTTTTTTCACTGAAGTGTAAGAGGTTGAGGGGTGACCTTATTGAGGTCTAGCAAATCCTGAGGGGCATAGATAAGGTCAATAGCAAGGGTGTTTTCCCTAGGGTAGGAGAGTTCAAAACCAGGGAATATACTTTTAACGTGAGAGGAGAAAAATTTAAAAAGGACATGAGGGGTAACTTTTTTACACAGGGAGTGGTTCATGTGTGGAATGAACTGGCAAAGAGTGGTGGATGCGAGTACAGTTACAATGTTTTAAAGACATTTGGATAATTCACGAATAGGAAATGTTTGGAGGGATATGGGCCAAGCACAGATGAGTGGGAATGGTTTAGTTTGGGAACATGGTCGGCGTGGACTAGTTGGACCGAACAGTCTGTTTCCATTCTGTATGACTCTACGGCTATGACTGATTCTCCAGTTCAAACATTCGAAAAGAAGGACAATTGTTCCAACCTCTTCAGTGGAATCTGATACACCATTTATCTCCCTCCCCACCTACTCGCAGAAACACTGGGCTGTTTCAGGAAGATAGCATAGTTTGCTTGTGACCGATACAGGAAAATCTCTGGGAAATTGCTCCAACTCTCTCTCAAGGGCAATCAAGGAAGCTGGATCACTTCAGATTGGTTTTCAAAACAATCACCTCTTACTGGAATAACAAGGTGTAGAGCTGGATGAACACAGCAGGCCAAGCAGCATCAGAGGAGCAGGAAGGCTGACGTTTCGAAGGGTCTAGGCCTGAAACATCAGCCTTCCTGCTCCTCTGATGCTGCTTGGCCTGCTGTGT